CTGTAAACTAAGAAGGCCCCTTCCACCCTGGCAGTTACTGGTGAGATTCTTCACTTTGAGGCACAGCCAGCTATAACATATCCATATTTAAGAACTATTTGCCAATTTGTTAAAAAAAAAAAAAAACAAAAAACAAACAAACTAAAACAAAACCCAAAACAGATACTAAAACTCAAAAATCTTCAAGATGCCTCTTCTGCTTCACCATCTCAATTGATGGTGACTCCACCACTACAAGTGAAATATTTCCCACCCCATCTTCAAAGACAGTCAATTACAGTCTTCTGGCAGCACACTGCTGTACATTTTTGAGGAAGTTCCCTCTTCCATCTTTTCTTCCCCAGCCTAACTCAGTCCTAGTTCTTTACATCCTCCCTCCCATACTGTATTTCTAAAGACCTTAATAATTTCTGCTGGACACTTTTCTTGTTTGTGCACATCCTTCCAAGGATCTGAGCCTATTCCCTCAGTAATCCCCCATCTAAGTCAGAGATAGTAGTAATTATATCCTGCACCTTAGAGGTGACACTCCCAACACAGCCTGGCACAAGGCTTGTGTTGTGTGACCCCCCCTCCCCAGCAAAGGGCTAACTCATCCAACTCCCAAATCCTAGTTACACCAACATTTCCCTCAGCCCTGCCTCTGCCCTAGGCAGGGTCTCCTGTCAGAGAGAAATGCTATCAACCTGCACTTTGAATGCAGCTTTTCAACCAGTCGCACATCCAGCCAAGGGATGCTTTCCATCTCCCACCCTTTCCCCATTTGTTTATGAGGCTGACACATGGGCCAGTGACACAGGCTGACTCAAGTTAGGATCTATAACATCCATCACCTCCGCTCAGCTGCTAGGCGAGCCATCCTTCCAGGCAAGGGAACTGACTGATGTGATGCCCTATCATCCAGACAAAAACACACTGGTGGCTTTTTAAATCAGCATATTCTCTTAGCACAACAGACACTGCTGCTCAGCTAGTTTTTTTTAGACTACCTGGTTGTAGCCCTATTCCTTCTCCCTATACATCAAGGTATCAAATCTTGATATTTCCCTCTGCTTGGTGTTCTTCAGCATGGCTGCTCACCACACAAAAACTGCTCTAGTTTATTAAGTACTCAGGTGAATTTCATAAAGCTTTGTCCACTTGATCACATCTAATTGACCTAAATGGTCATCACCTGTTTTTACTTCACTTGTGCTTGGATTCACTTTTTAAAATTAATTCCTCTAAATCCCTCATCAGCCTTGACCTTCTGTTCTAGGTGAAGACAGAGTTCCTACTTACTGTCACCTTGCATTTGTTCTTCTCCACTCAGCCAGTTCTTTGCTTTGTCCAACAGCATGATCCTCCTGCTGCAGCCCGTCTTCACGTGGTTTTGTGTCCAGCACAAATTCAATTCCTTCCTCCGGATTCATAATGTTGCAACTCATGTCAAGTGAACTGCTTTTCTACAGTGAGTAACAACAAACCCCTGGGCAGTTACCGCAGTGTAACAGGCACACAGTAATTTGTTAGCAGGTCTATGCCTCAAGTATAGAGAGGAGCCCAGCCAAACCAAATCACCAGCTTGAACACACAGTCACCCCGGGGAAGATGTCTGCCTCACCAGCAACACCAGAGCCCAGTGTTTCACACAAAGGGAAGCTAGATATTATTATATCAGCACAGAGCTGAGGGATGCACCTCTTTTAAGATCTTCCCTAGACCCATGGCACTAGATTTATTATCAAGTCAGAAGCAGACACCCTCCATGGCCCTGCAGTACTACAAGGCCCTTTCTGACCTTCAAGCAGAAGACAGCAGCTTATGATGACTGCTTCAGGCAGGAGATGATGCCTGCAGCCATCTAGGTTTCCTCTAAGTAACAGAGGGTACCAAGACTGTCTCATTCCCTGGCTTCGAAGGGACGAGAGATAGAGCCTACTAACGGCCACTATTTAATTTGTGAAAGCACCAAGTGCAAGCTAGAGTCCCTCTGGCTGCTACCCAGAGTTGAGGTCTGCAAGGAATTTAGCACAGGAACCCCCAGGGGAAAGGGGAGAAGCAAAGGTCAGAGCGGGACAGGAAAACAAGGCAGAAGCTCACAGTGCCTTCTCCAGGCATGGAAAAGCAAGGGCTCTTTGGTGGCTGCTGAGTCTTGGAAGCTGAGGAAATGCCTGCAGAAGACAGCGAGCATAGCCAGACATGAGCCCTGCCTGCAGCCACTGCCTCCAGGTGCTGACAGGAGACCTAGCTTGGAAGATGCAGAGAGCTCTGCCAGCAGGATCCCCAGCTTGCCAGCACCAAGCCACTACAAACCTGGCCCTAGGAGAGCACTAGTATCTTGTGGAGGCAGAGCAGGAAGATGGGCAGGCAGGCAGCATCGACATGGGATGCCCCATCCCTGGAGGTGTTCAGAGCCAGGTTGGATGGGGCCACAGGCAGTCTGGTGTAGTACTAGATATGGAGATTGGTGACCCTGCATACAGCAGGGGGATTGGAGCTTGATGATCCTTGAGGTCCCTTCCAACCCAAGCCATTCAATGATTCTGAGACATGCAGGAGCAGTGGGGAGAACAGAAGCATTTGCAGCAATGTTTAGCCATTGCATGCACATAGAGAGAACCTAGCAAAAAGGAGCAAACGCTGCAGAGACACGCGGAGAAAAGCATTCACATCTCACATTTTGCAACGGAGCCTCCGCCTCCTGCAGCTGATCCGTATCTGGAGCAGAGGGCAGACACCCAGCTTCAGGCCGGGAGAAAAGAGCAAGGAGGCAGTGCCAACCTGCAGCCTCACAGAAAAGCCATTTCACACTGCAAGCCTCTGCTTCACAGGCCTGGCACTTGCCCTCTCTCTCTTGCACTGTGCGTACTCAGACACACACAAAATCATTCCTGAATTTTTTTATTTACTCATATTTATCAGGAATTCATCCGTCATAGCCAGAGCACAATGTAACAGATCTACCAAGCCGCAGGAATACTTACAGCCCTGAGGCTGCAGGGGCCTGAAGCTGGACTTCACCAACAGCACCAGGGGTCCCCAGTGGCACTCACAACGTGTCAACGCAAAAAAGAACGATGATAACTGCTGCTCGCAGTGGCTGCAGCCATCACACTGACCAGGGATGAAAGCAGAACCATGCTCGCACACAGGCACTTGCTTTCTGTCTTCTCAATTCCAGCAGGGCCCTGGGGGAGCTGGGAGGAGCAGGAGGCACCAATCTGACAGCAGACAAAGGCCTTCCTCTGAGTCACGCAGCATCCCCACGGACACAGCCCAGCCGCTCCCTTCCCTGCCGCCTCCGCCATCGGGCCAGACCCGGCACCGCGTGCCTAGGTTGGGGCACAGCACCTCCGTGTCCCTTCCATGGGCTGGGCTGTCGAAGGCCACCGGGAAAGGCTACTTCGGCTTGGTTGCCATGGGGATGGAGATGCAGCCCAGCACAGGCAGGAAACGCAGACTCACCCGAGGGCAGGTGCCGATGGGAGGGGAAAGGGGCTTCGGGCCCGAGAGGGAGGTGTGGCCCCTCTCCTTTGTTCCCACCCCCTGGAAAACAGCCGTTAATTAAAGAAGGCCTTAACAGACGTGGAAACAAACACGTTCTCCAAACATCCCCCATTCTCTCACTTCATCTCTGCAACAAAAAAGCCCCGGGGAAGCTCCAGCCCGCTCCCCAGTGAGCCCCACCATCATCCCTGCCTCCGTCACCAGAGCAAAGCCGATGCTTTGATATGCAAATCCGCCATCGGATCCCTAATCGTGCTGCCTGCAGGCAGCACAACACCCCACACAGGGGCCTCCTTTGGCTGGGAGCTGTGGGCAGCACCAGCCCCTCGTAGACCCCATCGCAAGGATGGGCACTGAAGGAAGGAATGCACACTAAAATCAAAACCACCATGCCAAGGGTGCCCTTGGCTCACTGAAAGCACGACTAGAAGACAGGAAAGACAGGCCATTGGTGCACAGGTTTCTGCTGCAGGTCTCACACTCACAGAGATGTTCTTCACATCCTTGTTCTTAGAAAGAAGCATATCTTACTTCATTGCATAAACACTTATCAGAAGAAAGCCCTTTTCCAGCCCATTTTCTTGCTAGGAAATATGACTGAGGATACTGTGAAAGCCCGAGGAAGGACACAACAGCAGCAAACAGCTCGGCACCTTCCTTTGGCCGCTTCAACTCCTGACCCCGGGATTCTTCATGACAGTGACACCACGCTCCGGTCAAAGGGGAAGAAACCGGAGCATCGCAAGGCTCAGAGCAACGCTCCCAACAGGAAAACCGACACCCTCAGAACACACGGCAGCCTCAGTTCCTCCCAAGGTTACCAGCGGCTGGAAATAGAGCAAACCTGGGGCAACCAAGCACACCCCTGAGCCCAAGCAGAGCCCGCTCCCAGCCTCATCTTCACCATGCTGCTTCCGCACCCAGGTGAGGGCTGCAGGTGGGACCCAGCCCTTAAGGACCGTAAAAGAGCCCGGCACGAAAAAGGCCCTCCCAGGAGGACGCCAGCTTTTGCAGTCAACAGGATCCACGTTCTTACAGCACGGCTATTATTTCTGATAGGCACAGAGCCTTCCCGCAGCCGGTTCCCAGCCCAGCGCTCGGCTCCGTGAGCTCTAGAAGCGTTAAGAAGGCGGGGGGCTGGAAGGGGGTGCGGCCGCAGCCCGGGGCCCGCGGAGCTTTGTCCCACGTCCGGGCGGGGCACCCGCGGGGCCGCCCAGAAGGCACCGCAGCAGCGGGCAGCGAACACCCCGCGAGGCCGAGCGCACGGGACGGAGCGAACAGCCCCGCGGTCCCGGCTTCGTCCTGCCCCCCTCGGCACGGGTCCCGTCCCGGGCAGGCCGGAGCCCCGCCGCTCGCCGCCCGAGCGCGGCACGGCGCGGCCGTGGGCTTCTCCCCGCTCCAAGATGGCAGCCCCCCGCCCCAGCCGGCCTCCTTCCTTTCCTCTCCCTCCCCCCTTCCTCGAGCCCTTCCCGCCGGCCTCGCCGCCCCCCCCGCGATGCTGCACCGCTTACCCTGCGTCAGGCGCGGACGGGCTCTCGGGCTGCCGCTGCTGCCGCCCCGCCGGGCGCTGCGGTACCGCGCTGCGCTGCGCCGCGACGGCAGGGAACGATCGACGCCAGCTCGGCTCGGCTCGGCTCGGCTCGGCTGGGCTCGGGGCGGGGCGCGGCCTCGAGCGGGCGTGGCTTCGGCACCGCACAGCGATGGGCGGGGCCTGCGGGCGGCGCAGCGCGCGTGCGCATTGTCGGCGGGCGGAGGGCCGCGGTGCCGCTGAGGTGCGCGGCGGGCGCGGGGGCGGTCGGTGGGCTCGGGGGTCACGTGGGGCGCGGCGCGGCGCGGCGGGGGGCGGCCGGGGGTGGCCGTGCGGGAACAGCCGTCCTGGAACAGCCGTCCATGTCGCCGCCGGTGCTGGAGGTCGCCGATCCTCAGGCCTTCCGGGCGGGCCTGGCTGCGGCCTTGTGCAGATGCCGCCTTGTGCAGATGCCGCCTGCGCCGAACCTCTGGGCCGCTCAGGCGCTTGTACGCGGCCGCCGTGTCCGCCGGAACGCTTCGTTTCGAGATCCTTTGGGGGCCGTGCTGCCAGGATTAGGCGATGAGCGGTCACGTGGCGGGGTGGAAGCGGGATTCCCGTGCCCTGATGTGCAGCGGGGACTCGGGAGGTGTGCGCGCAGCCTGGGCCCTGCTGCTTAGCCACCTAAACGCTCCTTGGGAGCAGTTCCTTTCGGAGGAAGCCAGTAGCGTTCACCTTTCTGTGGACAGCTGGCCTAGGTCAGCGGTTCCTGACTTCTGTTGTGGGGTTTTTTGTAATGGTTGAGCCGCCGCTCCCCACCTTCTCCTTCTTGCTTGGCTCCTTTTCGCTGCCATCACACTTCAGTGCTTTCTGGTTGGTGATCACACCTTGCTGGTTGGGACTAGGTCACACAGGTTACAGCTGCAAACAGGATGTGGGCTTGTGGCTTGCTGTCTGTGGTCCTCTTCTGAAACCTCAGTGCTTTTAGATGTAGTAGAGATGCAAGCAAAAGGAGACGGTAGCAGTGAGATAGTGGACTGCGGGTGGTTCTCTCAATTTATGTGTGACTCCAAAAGATCCTAGCAAGGAAGGGTTTTGCCTCCATCCCCACAGACCTCATCAGTGCTTCTGGGATTGGAAATCTACTCTGCCACCCCCTTCCTTTGATCTTAGGAAGTTCACTCTTTGGCTTAATTTTCTGCTGTTGCCCAAGGAGGTTGTGGATGCCCCGTCCCTGGAGGCATTCAAGGCCAGGCTGGATGTGGCTCTGGGCAGCCTGGTCTGGTGGTTGGCGACCCTGTCAATGGCAGGGGGGTTGAAACCACATGATCATCGTGATCCTTTTCAACCCAGGCCATTCTATGATTCTCTGATACACTGGGAACAATCCATTGTTATTTTAGTATAGCACTGTGAATATGAGCGTATGTAATTTATTAGTGTGCTTGGATACTGGAACAGATGTAAGTACCTTAGAGCTGGGACTTCTGGATATTTAAAATAACTAAAGTAAGTTTTCCATTAAAGCTCTTTTTATCTGCTTTTCCTGATTGTGCAGATGAGCTTAGCGTGTTTCACTGGAGAGCTGTTAGCAGATGTACCTGCAATGAGTTGCTGTTGGTAATTTGGATCGATAAATATTAATAGCTAATCCTACTCATAAATGGAACTTATGAAGACTTAATTCCTCTTTGTGAATTTGGCCTTTCTGCCTGTCATTAGTACAAAACCAATTATGTCTTGGTAATGGGTATCTTGTGTATTTTTAACGTACCCAAGCCCTTAATCACATTGCTTCCTTTACGAGGATGGCCATGAATGGATCGACCCCACAACTCTCTGCTGCCTCTTGCAGCACACCCTGGCAGGCATTCCATAAATAAACCCATAGTGCCCAAGTAGGGGTTTGGGTATTTGCATTGCACGTATTGTTTTGGATTTATTTCCTGTATTTTAATGATGGATGACAGATGCAGGTCAAATCTTCGTGGTGCCCAGAGCATGTCTTTTTTCATCTCATAGAATGCTGGCTCCCACTGTTTGACAGTTCAGATCATTTTGTATTTTGACAGCAGCTTTTGGCCTCAGGACTTGCTTTGCACATCCGTTGATTCTCCCTGTGGCCTGTTTGTGTGGGTGAGTTACCAGCTGAAATAGAAATAACTGAATGATTGTGGAACTACAGGTCTTCAGGGGGAACAGGGAGCAAATGTCATTTCCGACTTATCATTAAAAAGGAAAGCCGTACTGGATTGCTAGTTAATAGCACTATTTAAAATTACTTCTACTCTAGGATGCAGGCAAAGTAAGAATGACATCTTGACTCGGTTTTAGGCTTCGCACCACTGATTAAAAGCTTGGTCAGAGCTGTTTCACTGTTCCATTGAGTGTTCAGACAGAGATGTTTTTAGTGCTCCCATGACTGTATTAGTAGAGCAGATTCATACTGAGTGTTGTGAAATGCGTTTGTATTTTTTGCTGAAATGGAAGAGATTCTTCTCTCGTCAGAATCTCTCGAGCTGCTCTCCCAGTGTAAGTGAAGGGAAATGTGCCAGTGTTCTGCCACATCTTGCTCTAGCGTTCATGCAATCAGGCTACAAACGGTACTGATTGACAAGAATGCTGGAGCCAGCATAAGGGAGCTGATGCAAATGTGTGGTGTGGGAACACGGGACTCCTTTGTTAGTACTGTGTGCCCTGACGTGGGCTTAAAGCATGTATGTAATTCTGCCTTCCTTATCTGGAGGATGTCCTTGCTTCATATCAGCTCCCTGGGGTGGTCTACTCGTGTGTTTGCATGTGTTTTATGAAACTCGTATGTAGCCTACTTCTGTTATCTGGGATAAAATTTTCCAGAATTCCTCCATTCAAAAAGCACTTTAGCCTGTGGTAAATATAAATCACTTCTTTAACCTTCTGGGAAGGTGGTGAAAGTAGTAGCTGTAATATGGCACTTGAAAATGGTGCGGTGGTTAAATAACTCCCAGAAGTGTGAAACTAATGACGAGCCCCTTTGTGGTATGATTTTTGAACTTGATGTCAGCCTGTTGCACTGGACGTGGTAATGCTGAAGGGTCCTTGAGATGAGAAGGGAGTGTTTGCCATAGCGAGTTATTGCGTGTTGAGACTGACTCAGTGAAGAAGAAATTGTGTCACCCCAGTGAGTATTTGATTAGCAGACTCCTCCCCCTTTTCAGAATCTGAACTCAGTCTGAATTCTGTGAATTTTTAACTGATTTGTGGAGCAGGAAGAAGCTGAGTGCCTCTAAGATTTGGATTTCAAGAACTTGAGTCTCTCCAGCCCTGTGATAGAGCCACTGCTAGAACTGAGGTGCTTTTTAATACTACTCTTGCCTACTGTGAACAACTTTGAAGTTAATCCTCCTTGAGCTGGAAGTTGGACTAGATGACCTCCAAAAGTCTCCTCCAAGGTAATTCCTTGATCAGGAGCATATTAATGACTGAATGCAAAGCACCAGTGCTATTTTTCCTGTCCAGGCTACGGCAGAGTGCACTTCTTCATCAGCTGGGCAATACCAACAGCAGACTTCCTAGGAGTTTGTCCACAAATGCTCATGGTTGACGGTTATAGGGATACCATCTGACTCTGAGCAGTGAAGTTGGATAAGGGATCACAGTCTGAGATACACCTCTGGGAGCAAAGCCAGGTCATGTGCACTACCCAAGCATGTGCTAAGCACAGCCTTCTCCAGAAGGTGTGAGACAGCATCAGCTCTGGAAGGGAGGGGACTTTCATCTCCTTAATAGCATTCAGCCTTTGGCACCAGCTCTGAGTGCTTGTGCTGCAGTGAATGACTTCTCTGCCCTTGCAAGTTTAGTTTGGTCTTAGCTCCTCCACAGTGGACAAAACGAAGGGCAGAGAAGATCAGGTGTCTGTTCCAGCCACAGAGGGAATGAGGTAGAACTGGGCCAGTCCGAGGAGTGCTGGAACCAGACCCGAAGGGTAGGCTGTTTCTGGAAGGGAAGCTAGCTTGTTCCAACAGTTAGGGATATGATTCATTGTTCAGAAACCCACTTGCACCCTTCCTTGCATGCTGGGCTCCTTGCCACAGAAGCATTCTTCCTTCTGCCCTGAACCTTCTTGCACACTGAAAATATTCTGTTTATTCAATTCCAAACAGGATGCTGCATTCCAAGTAATCAATCATTCAAAGTTTCTTAGTTTATGACACATCTTAATATACTGAGGAATAATTCCTAGCAGCGAAGGGATACTGAGTCATGTGGAAAAATAAACAGTCCTTGTACGCTTTAAACTGTTGATGCTTCACTCAGAAGTTTTGTAACTTCAAACCTTCACTGCTGCCACAGGGCAGAAACAAGCGGTGACTCCTCCTGAGACTGGGTAGTGAGTTCAGAGTTTAGGCAGCACTCTGGGGCTCTGACACATGGCCTTGAGCACACTGAGCTGGTTGCGGTGTTGCTGTCCCTCTGACAGTGGGCAGAGCATGTCCCTGTCCCTGCAGTCCAGGCTCAGGCCAGCAGTGCTCTGTCAGCCCTATGTAGCTGTGAAGGCGATGGTGGACTCCCCAAAACACACCTCTCAGGCAGTAGAGAGGTTGACTCAGTGCTGCTAGTTTAGGTCTTCTGGTGGGCTCCGAGGCCTTGCTGTGCTGCTGGAGGAACTAGGAGCACTCTTGTACCCTGGGTTTGAGTTTCACGCTGGGAAACAGTACACCCATGTGCAGAACAGGACAGGGGCTGTTCTCCCTGCCGGCACAGGGTGTAGGATTACAGCAAGGGAGTTAAGTTGAAGTTGTGTAGCAATCCTAGCAGCAAGGCCAGGTAATCAGGCCTTGATGGCTAGCAACACTGTAAATACTGCAGGGCCTTGTTTTTGCTAGGCTTGCACATTTAGGTGAGGCAGTGTTGCAAAAATACAGCCTCCCTGGGGTCTTGTTTTAGTGAGGGGATGGTAGAGGTGAGATCAGAACGGATACCCTGAGTCATTTGGAGACTTTATCTTCTGCCCAATAGAAATGTGGCTTTGTTATCGACTAAATGTAAGTGTTGATTATAGCTTTTATCTGTTCCAAACCTGCCTGGGTGACAGCTGAGATGGTTTGTCACATACTGGAGAATGCATGTTTCGCTCAGGATGCTCTAAGGAGAAGTTAGGTCAACTTTATTAAAAAAAAACAAAACTTTTACAACACGAGGCTCCAGAATTTGGCCTTATGCTCAACACCAGCAAAGAGAGATAAGTGGTCCATATAATTTTAGTGTTTAGAGAGGAGAGAAGCAGGACAAATGCTGGTTATGCTGCCAAGGTCTAGGTGAGCACACAGCAAGCTGCAGTCAGAGAGGAGCCTTAGCTCTATGTGAGCTGGCCTGAAACAGGATGGCATCGGGGTCCTTGCTGCTTCCTGCTTTTGCTTGGATGTGCTGCCATAGCTGCCTGGGTCACTGTTCCTAACCCATGTCTGGCAAAGTGAGCTGGGATCAGATAAGCTGTTGTGACTGACTCAGCAGGCTGGTCCTGATCGGTTTGACAGAATGAGGCTAGGGAACAACTAGGGATGCAGTTAGGGAAGAGGGTGTGGTCATCTCAGAGGTTAGCCTTGTAACCTGGTTCTTCTACCCAGTGATCAGGGTAGTGTTTTGGTTGGGATTGAGCAAGCACTGTGAAGGCATGGGAAGCTTTTCCTTCTGGGCAGCTGTAACAAAGCAAGATTGGTAGGAGTGAGATGTTGGGCTCCAAACAATGCTCAACAGCTTGTATAAGGGGCACTCCCTCATTGGTGGTTGAACTGTGTTTGTCTAGCAGCTTGTTTCTTGATGCTTTGATGCCAGTCTGCAGAGCATCTCTGGCTTTTTGCCTGGTCTTGTAGGCAACACTGGTAGCTTTTACTGGTCACTCTAATTTCTAAATTAGAAGCTTGTTTGTTGTTACATGGTTCACGGTGCACAGAAGAGCTTTTAACCTTGTGAGAAGACTGCAGCTCAGGGGTACTGAACTCAGCTTTACAGTATAAGCATCTGAATTATATTCTCTACTGAATTATATTCTCTACTGAATTCAGGCAGAGGCTCTTGCTGTGCTTTGTAGCACGCTAGTGATGCTGTTAGAACCCTGTATGCTGTGGAGTACAAAAGTACAATAAGTTGCTGAGACCCTAGTGTGTGATTGCCATAAGAAAAAGGAAGTGAAAAAAATTCTGTACTATGCCCAGAGTTCATAATTCTCTTATTTCTTAACAGGGCAGCTTACCAGAATCCAGATGGCTCTCTTGCACAGGCGATTGGGATTTTCCTTAACCCATCTGAGCAACACAGTCATCCAGCGACACCTCAGGTGATTTTTAAATCCTGCTTTTGGTTTTATTTTCTTGGTTGGAAGCGATGCTAATAAGTAAATCTAGCATAAGATATAGTGTTTCTAATTAAAAAAGAGTAATATGAGAAAAATATCATAGAAGTCTCTTTGCAGATTGTAAAATGAACCCAAACAAATGCAGGTTCCTGGCAGTCAGAACATGGAATGTCTGCAGAGTTTAAATCATGTTCTCTAAACTTTCCATTTAAGTTTTAACATGAGCTCCTTGCTCATCCATGTGAGTTTCCTGCCACTTTTCCCCGATTTTTACTCTTAGGGATGCACTGATCTTGAGCTTGGAGGAAGTGGCACTTGAACCAACTCTCTTGGCTCCCTTACTTTTTAGTGCTCTAACCCACAGGATACCTCTAACTAGATCTTTGCAGAGATCAGAGTTGGCTTTCTTGATGTCCAGGACTTTAGACATTCAGAACAGAATTCTGGGTATTGCCCTGTTTCTTCCATATAAGACCCTGAGCACTATCTCATGGTCTCTGCAGCCAAGGCTGACATCAGCCTTCACATCCCAAATCTTCCTTGTTTGTAAGTATAAGATCCAGCTGCACACGTCTTCAGCTCCTTCACCACGTATTTAAAGGATATGCACTGACAATGAGAAGGAGGTGAAGACCCTGAGGCAAGGAGTGCTGCTGCTGGAAGGCAAGTCAGCAACCTGAACTGGGAAATCATTCCTGTGTGGTGAGCCTGCTTTTGGATGTGGGGGCTTCCACCCTAAATCTGTGTCAGAAATGAGAAGAAAAGTCCACTTTGTGCAGTTATCTTGTCTAGCAGTAATCAGGCAGTCACACATTCATAGTTGTGAGTTTGCTACTACTGCTTCCTAACTTTGTGCAGCCTAGATTTCCCTTTCTCCCTTTGGCAATACTCCTTTCCAGCTTCTGCTGTTCTGCCTTCTGTGTTGTGCAACCATAACCTGGCAGACAGAGGATGGGGTGTGATAAAAGAAGAACAATTCCTGAAAGGGCAGTTAAATTCTCAGCTTATCCTTTCTGCTCCCAAGTGTAGTCAAAGTCATATCTACTAATTTAGAACCATGCAGTGTATTCCTGTTATTTCTTACTCCTGATAATCCCACAGTGCAAGCAGACACAGAAGGGAATGCTTCTTTCTGGGTTCCTCCCACATGGGGATGGCAATTCTAATTAGCAGAAGCTTAGTACAGCCACAGTGGGACTCAGAGGTCTCATTGAGAGCAGAATAAGGTTGGTGAGAGCACCTCATGCACTTCACTGAGAAGAGATTGGTCAGAAAATTGCTGGGTACTGTGTACAAGATCAAAAGAGGCTGACTTGAGTCTTAGCTTTCTGTAGGCTGGTTCTGGGAGAAGCAAGCACATTTTTTTTTGCTTGTAAGTTGAAGTTGAACTGAATCATTCACAGTTGCTTTAAAAAAAAAAAAGGCAGTAAATGCAATCCACTCCTCACTCCTTTTTTTAGTCGTGTTTCAGAGTAGAACAGTTGTCTTATGTTTGATGTTACTGAAGAGTGTGCAAAGCTCAAAGTAGCATCTGGCTTTCAAAGAACGTATTGAATGCAATGAATGTGTCATCCATATGGTATGTATTTGTCGCTGGCGACTTCTGAGTGATCTTGTAGTGACAAGATCCCATGTTGGTTTTGCCCTCGCACCCCAAGGATTACTGGGGAGATCTGTCTCTCATTCTTTCCTGTCTTTTGCCAGTGTCAGTGGAGCATGCCGAGCAATACAGAAACTTACTCGCGTGCGAGTGGTGGACAACAGTGCCTTGGGAAACGCGCCATACCACCGGCCACCAAAGTGTATCCACGTGTATAACAAGACTGGAGTTGGCAAAGTAGGAGATAAGATCCTTCTGGCTATCAAAGGAGAAAAGAAGAAGGCTTTGATTGTAGGACACAAGATGCCTGGTCCTCACATGACACCTAGGTTTGATTCTAACAATGTGGTGCTCATAGAAGACAACGGAAATCCGTTAGGAACGAGAATAAAGACACCCATACCTTATATCCTGCGGCGGAGAGAAGGAGAGTTCTCCAAAGTTTTGGCCATTGCCCGCAACTTTGTATGAGAGCTAAGAAAGATTTCTGGCAATCCTGTTCATACCCTTTCCTACAGTACCCACTCCTTGGTCCTTTTCTAGAAAAAGGTGAAACACGCAGAAGTTGAGGTTAATTAAGAGTCTCTTTTCCTGCTTATGAAATACAAACAGCTAATTTAAGTACTGAAATGCCTTGCTTTTCTCCAGAAGAGACAACAGCATGTTTGGGAAGTGGTCCTATACTCAAACTGCTCTGCTGGTGTTACTTTGGTTTCCAGTTATTAAAGTAAGAAGATGAAAATCCTTATTATTTTGTACTGCCTATGCCTTGTTTTCCCTATTTCTGCTGTTCACAGTTCTGCTGGAGCAAGACACAAAGCCCAGTCCCTGGCCTGATGGTTCTGAGATGTAAAAATGGATTCACTTATAATAAAGTAGGAGAGATGAGAGCAGTATAATGAATTATTGGTCCTTTCAAGAAAAGTGTTAGTTTCCACATCTTTGCCTCAGAAAGAAGACTTTAGGAGTGAATGGGATTGGGAAAACCTGATGGCCTACAACTTTGGTGGTGTGTAGTTGAACAGGATATAGCAGAGCTGGGAAGGGAAGGAGAATGTGGTAGGTTTGGGATATAGCCTATGCTCTCCACCTGATCAACCTAAGGAAATTAACTTCTGTTCTCTCAGGACTGTACAAGGGTTGGGTTCAGACTGAAAGTTTGACAGGAAGAAACATTGTTCCATACAGCTTTTTGAGACTGCATCAGAGAACCTAGGTTTGTCCATTATCTGTTGCTGATAAGCAGCATGTACTCATTGGTGAGGCCAGCTATTGTCCAGAAGTGCTTCCTAAATTTAGGCACAACAATGTGTAGGTGCTGTGCTGTTGTGTTCAGGGGTGACTGTAGTCCAGGAGCCAAACTGCTTCATTCATATGAAGCCAGGCAGAGAAACTTGGTGCTTGCAGTGGGTAAAAGGACGTGGGAGAGCCTGGATCCTCTCCTGCTCCGTTACTCTAGGTAATGTGGATTGGACAACAATTTGTGTTTAAATTGAGCTTTAAGGAGCTGCACTGTTCTCCTTAGTAAAACTTCCCTGTGAACCAGAGGAGCCTAAGCCTATGGGCTTCCCAGTTCAATACAGGCAAAACCCCCCTCTGCCTGCAGCACATTACTTGTTTGCTGCTTTCCATGGGCCAGAAAAAGCTGGATATGCAGCTCTAGACCCTCCCAGGCCCCAGGCTGTTGCCAGTAAGCCCTCTGCCTGCCTGCTAGATGAAGCAGCACAGCAGGTGCCCAGCTGATGTCAGTCTTTCCAGTCTATCTGAACACAGTTGCTTTCAAGGAGAGATTTCTTTGCTGGAAGGTGACGTTTATATCGCTTTGCTGGGCGGGTTAGTGAACAAACAGTGCATTCTGGTTGCAGCAAGAAACGTGGCTGGGTCCCCTCCTGTTGTTTCCTAGAAGGAGCTGCAGCTGCTGGCCAAGCATCCCCGGGTGTGCATGCTGGCCATCTAGTGGCTTCTGCAGCTGTGGAGCTGTGAGAGCTGTTCTGCAACCTCAGGCATTGGAGACTTACTTCTGCAAAGGTGGGTCTTGCTTGGGCTGCTCAGGTTGGAATCCTGCCCAGGTACAGTGATCACTGGGGTTCTGGGAAGTGTAGCAGAGGGAAACTTCTTATTTCAAGTAGAAAAGAGTGTGTGTCACCTGAAAATGGGAGGATGTAAATTCCCTCAAAATGTATATCCTTTTGAGAACAGAAAAGAAATTTTACTTCTGCTAACTTACGGCTAGAAAATAGCTTTCCACTGCTGCATTTGGTTTCTGTTCAAGGCCATCTGCGTGGTGGAAGAGGGGTCCAATTAGTTCCAGCTAACCCAGTCTGTAACTCACTGACAGAGCTACTCAAGTGGATTGTTTGGTCTTGCTTAGCAACAACTCCAGACTTGGAGCAGTCCCCTGGTAGGACACAAGGACCTCCAAATAATTTTTTGTTTTTCTTGTCCTGACCATAAGGGCTATGAGTTCTTCATGGGATGCGTGGACCCTGCTGTTTGGATATTAAATATTTCACAGAATATTTGTTAATAACTTTGCAGCATTTTGCAGGGATAGAGGTCGTGGGGAGAGGGCACCAGAGGAAGCAGGCAAGACAATAGAGCAGACTTGAGATTAAAACGTGGAGAGACGCTTTATTTGTAAGTAAACTGATATGTGGAACTAAATCCTTAACCTCAGAGCTTAATAAGCAGACATGCAGACAGCTAAGCTCAGCACATCCCACCGAGCAGCTCCTGCAGTTTGTAAGTGTCTTTTCCTGACAAGGAACGTGGCCTCAGCAGAAATCACTGTCTGCACTTGGCAAATCCCAGGCACTCACCAGGGGCAGCTTCTCACTGGGGTCTCTCCTTCGAGCAGGACCCACATGCAGACCCTTGTTCTGTGGGGCACCTGCCTGTGTGGGCTTGCAGCCTGCCCCATGCTGCGCTTGGGATGCAGTGAACCAGGTGATCTTCCAACCCAAGCATTTTGATTTTATGGAATTAACCTGGTTTCTCCTGGGGGTAGTGATTCTTGCAGGTCCTTTCCTTGAAGGAGGCTGGCTGTCTTTCCCTTCCCCTCTCCCTGTTTATTATTCTGCCATTAAAATGATTTTGCTATGGGAAAGTTTCCCAGCAGGGGATGGTGCCAAGGAGGAATCCTCTCATCTCCTGTGCAGCCTCTGGAGGAGCTGTAAGCTGCTGTGGAGAGCAAAGGAAGCTGGAAGCCGGAGTTCAGAGTCCTTCCAGAGTCCCTATTTTTGCCCCAAGGAATTGCTCACGGATCTTTACAAATGTGCCTTCCTGGCCAGCTCTGCCTGGGTCCCTGGGTTAGTGCTGTTCCTGTGTTTGGATGTGGGACTTAGGTCAGATTCTGCTCCCACGTGGTGCCTGTACCCCTGGTGATGTGACCAGATGTCTTTTGGTGGGTCCTGAGGGAAAGTGGTCCCTTCTTACGGTGTTCTGCGAGGGCAGGGAGAGATGGCCAGTGCCCAGAAAAGACATGGGGTAGAGCTGGCTGCTGGGGCCCAGGGCTGGACTGAGGAAGGCAAACTCTGGGGATTAGCTGGCCGTGAGAAGGGGTGTCTCAAAAGGAAACGGGCAAGACAGATTATCGCTCAGGGATGCTGCACGGAGCTGATGGCTTCCATCTGCCTGGAGACAGAGGCTGGGAGACAGGCTTGTGGCCCCACGCCAGCACAGCAGAGGGACTGTGGGACCAAGGAAGGCAGAAGGGGACATAGCGGGCTGGGAGGGGGAACACAACATATGTCAAAAGCAAGTTGCTGGGCTCATTTGCCAGCTTTTGTTTTCCCCCATAGCATCAGTTACTCCATGCAACTCATTGCTCCAGGACACCAGCAAGTACAACTGGTTAACAGAACTGAAAATGAGCCTGAGCACTCCTCTGTGGCAGTGAGGGTGACTGTGTTCAGCAGTAACAGCAAACACACCTTCCCCAAAGGGAGGTGATGTGCCTGATCATTGTGGTGTGGTCGCTGCAAGCAGGCTGTACCTGGGCTCCTGAAATACGAGGTTCTTCTGAAGGTGGCTCAAGGCTATAAAACTCTGTGCCGTAATGTTGTTCTTTAAAAACAAACATGAGCCCTGAACTATGGGGCTGGGTACTGGAACGCTTCCCAAAGCAAGCTGCAGGCTTTGGACCTAATGTCCTCTGCTGGGCCATGTCATCCCATGTCAATCCTCTTTTCCCGTGTAATCTGCATCTCTCAGGTTTAAAGAATTCATTGCTCTAGCTTACTAGTCTTCACCAGTACCAGAGAACTCGCTGTTGTGAGCAGGAGATGAAGAGAGGAGGTGGTAGGATGGGAGATGTAATCGCGGCCCTTGCTTCCTGAGGTTTCTGCTTGGCTCTTGGTCCTCTTCCAGGAGGCCCTTGGCAGCCCTGGGCACCCTATAGCTATGATTCCTGATGCTGGGAACAGCAAACAGCTGGTTTTACTGGCTTCCCTGGCCTGCCGCTCTGCCTCTGATGTGCCTTGCAGAACAAGGGACCTCGCCTGCAGCCAGGTGAGCTGAAGACAGGGGCCCTGGGGCATCAAGCCCAGACCCACCACAGCTCCTGGGCATACAGGTGTCTGCTCAGTGCACTTACAGCATTTCACATTGCTTGCTGGAAAACTCAGTGGTGAAATGTTCTGCTCATGGCCAGCAGGTAGCATCTTGCATTTCTGAGGAAAGTAGAGTGAATCTTAAAGACTTGCAAGAACTGGGAAATGCAGAGTTAATGGGCTGTGCAAATTTTGGGCCACTGGAAGTTGGCCCTTACACAACCTCCATCTCTAGCTGCCTGGGGTGGATGAAGCGTGAGTGAGATCCCTGGGAGACCCTTGCTGTTCTGCCAGCTGGGAAAGGAACTCTTGCAAGTCAAGAGCAAAGGGACTGTGTAACCTGGGAGGCACACACTGGGGTTTTAGGGCAGGTGTAGGCGGCTCTGATGCTGTGCAAAGGCTGGGTGCTGCTGGCAAATCTGGGTATCTGAGGCACTGCTCCCCTAGATAAGCCAGCTCTGTGCCATCAGCCTGGCTTGGTTCTGGGTGCTGGAATGCAGTGTGGCTGTGGCACCAAAATGCCAAACCCCAGCCGTGAGCTGTGCAGAAGGGTTAACAGCTCACTCCCTCTGCTTCGGGGAGCTTTGTTCATTGGAGTATTAAATTCCACAGCTGTAAATAATCTGCAGCAGGAGAGATTATCAAGACCCTGGGAAGAAGCAGCTTTTATTAATAAGATCAGTTCTCCCTGAGCAGCATCACGTAGCCGCTCCCCACCCTTTCTTTGCTGTAGTGCACCTCGCCATGCCTCCGGAGGGCGGTTGGGCAGCTGCCTGCCTCCATCCGTGCCATCCTCAGCCGAACTCTCTCACTCGATAAGAGGGCCCGGTTCCCGCCGGGTTTCCAGGGCACTGTCGGTGTTCCCAGGGTGCACGGTGCCCGTGGTACAGCACCTCGTCCCGTTACTTCTCTCGCGGAGCCGTCGGGCCCATAGCTACCCCTGGGCAGCCATCAATCCCTCCGCATCCTTCACCGCCAGTCTGCAAGGCGGGTTGCGGCCACACGGTGTCACCCCACGCCGCCCTTTCCGCTCCGGGAGGCGGCAGTTGCGGCTGTGGCTCCTCCCGTGGCGCCGTCCCGCGTGTCCCCATCCCAGCGCGGGGCCGTGTCACCGCACGGCCGGCTTTGGGGACACGCCGCCACCCGATGTTGGGCGCCCGCTGTCACCCTTGTGAGCTCGGAGCGGCTGTGGCACTCG